TTAAAAAAAAAAAAAAAAAAAAAAAAATTCTCAGGGAAAAAAGTCCCCTATAAGAAACCGAAGTAAACTTCGTTCCATTTGACAGGAGCAAAACCTGTTCCTAAAGCGATACACCACGGAGCGTGTCCTCCCGAATCACCAACATAGCCTTGCCGCCTATAAAGCGAATCCTATTATTCGTGGAAACATACTCTTTTATTTGCTGCATGAGTCGCAGGTAAAATGTACACAGAAGCAGGCAGCGTGGAAGGTGCACTCCTGCCACCTCCGCCCGTCCCTAAGGAGCACAGCTGTGCGGCGAGGGCCTTACCGTTCATGTACTTGGTGGCCGAGTACATGCAGACGTCTGCTCCCAGGGCCAGGGGCCGCTGCGGGACAAAGCAGGTTTTTACTTTCCGAGAAGCCATTGAAACCAGTACGTTTCCCCCTCCTGTCTGCAGCTCTTAATTCCACTCCCTCCGAGGCCGCGCGAACGGACTCTCAGGTACTCTCACCAAATAAAAGCGGAGTAGGAAACGTTGGGCCCCGCCCGGAGCGGAAAGCACGGGCGGGTGGAGGCAGCAGCGGCCCCGCACGCCCCACACCCCACCGGTTGAAGCCGCTGCCTTGGAAGTCGCCCCCGGACACCACGCTTCAGGACTCGTGAAACAGAACTGTTCACGGAGCCATTAGGCGGACGAGCTGTTCTGCTTGCGTTTTCAATGTTCAGAACCCTGTGAGGTGCTCTGCGATTATCCACAGTAGGTGCGTCACGACCTTAACCCCTACTGACTCTTTTATGTCACTAGTTTTGCCAAGCATAAAGTCACCTATAAAAAACGTGTTTGGGTTTTTTCTTCCTGCCTAATTTGGATGCATATTAATCTTCTACTCTTGAAATGTCTGTTAACAGAGGGAGTTAAAGTTACCACTGAACTATATATACTGTCAACACGTTTCCATGGTCATTTTCTTTCTTTTCTTTCTCTTTCTCCTTTCCTTCCTTCCTTTTCCTTTCCTCTCTCTCTCTCTCTCTCTCTCTCTCTCTCTCTCTCTTTCTGTCCTGAGGATTGAACCCAAGCCCTTCACATTGAGCTACATTCTCAGCCCTTTCCATTTTTTGTTTGTTTGTTTTCCATTTTGAAACAGTCTTGCTAAATGAGGAAGTCGTCCAGCTGGTTTAAAACTTGTGATCTTCCTGTCTCAACCTGCCAGAGTGCAGGGATTAGGGACCTCCACCACCACACTTGGCCTCACTTTCTTTTGAAGTGTCTGCCTGTTTTTGGATCTGATCAGCGGCATCTACAGTGGAGAAGGTATTAGCATAGGCTGCTATGGAACCTTTCCCTTTGGGGTGCTTAGAAAGTACGGTGGAAGGCATTACCCAGAGCACAGCCCTGTGATGACGTCTAAGGAGAGGGTGTTAAGGACTCTCTAGCACTAACTTGCTGTGAACTTCAGCCAAAAGGAAAAAAAAAACAATACCTGACATCTGTTGATCTCACCATGTGCCAAGAAGGAGGCTAACTCATACTTCACCTGGCCCAGGGAAGTACCTTAGAAAACACTTTACCTGACTCAGTAAAATCAGTGCCTCCACGGTGAGAACCACTGAGGCAGACCACTCAGATTTAAAAGCCAGCAGAGCCAGGCCATTCAGGACAGCATCCAGAGCTGCAAGTCCACAACTGCACACACAGTGGCGCATTCATTTTGCTTTTTGAGAGACCAGGAGAAAACACAGAGGCTGGGCAGAGCAGGAAGAGAATATAGGCAGTTTTCACCAGGCTCAGACAGTACATGGGCCTCTCCAGAATGTGATTCTGATTCACTCAAGAAGGGTGAATTCCAGTCCTTGGCATGGAAACGCGTTGTGAGTTTCAGAAATGCAGAAAAACTGGACCAGACCTGTTTTACTGGCGGGTAATTGAAGAAAAGGGGCTAGGTTTGGCCAGTAACCTAGGCAGGCCTGGGCTAAAATCATCTGTGCAATCTCTCTGCAAGTGCACAGAGCACGGTGACTCAGCCGAAGAGGTCGCAGGCAGCACTCACTGCCCTAGCAGGGCTGGTGTACAGCTTGGGATAAGTGAATCCAAGTCTGAAAACCACCTGGGATGAAGAGACGAAGCCAGGAGACTTTCTGGCTTGGAAACAGATTCTTACCTGGCACAAGGAACAGCCACACACATCACGAGCCACAGGTAGGTGGCCCACGAGGAGCTCTGAATGCGATGTGGCCAGGAAGTGTTTCGGGAAAACAAAATAAAACACAGCAGTGACTCCGCACAGAGTCGGGAGGCATGAAAACATGAAGCTGTGCTCTGTCCATGAACCCACTCCCCGTGATGAATGCAATCCGTACTCACTGCAGCGCGCACTGATAAAAGCAACAGGAAAGACAGCGGGGCGGGAGGGCAGGCTCACGCACGAGCTGAGGACCAGGCTGAAGCAGCTGCAGGGACCCAGAAGAGAAGGGGCGGTGAAGAACTGAGCTACAAACATCTGGAGCAAGGAGCAGCGATTTCGGGAATTCTGCAGGATGAAGACAAAAAATAGAGGAAGCGCGCTAGGTACGAGTACAGCAGAGAGAAAAGAGCAAGGACAAGGTAGCATCTCACTGAGGAAGCGGAGTTTGGCTTCTGTGAGGAAAGGGAGGGAGGACAGAGGGGAAAGCACAGCGCACGAAGCTGAGTCTTGGTGCAGCCTCCACGTGCATCAGCAGGTGAGCGGATAAAGAAAATGTGCTGTGCTCGCACCACGGAGCACTACTCGGCCGTAAAGATGACTTGAGTCATCTGTAGGAAAATCGACGCGCCTTGAGACTATAACGCTAAGTGAAACAAATCAGACACACGAGCTTCAACATCACGTGGTTTCTCATAAATGAGGAACACAAAATAGAAGCAAAGAGTAAAACAAAAGACAGGGGATAGGAAGTAAAGACAGAGATCTTTGGCAAATGGGAAGGGAATCAAGGGATGAAGCGGGGAAGGGAATGAAGAAAGAATTGAGAGGAGTTACGCACGTGGACCAACTCTACACAGGGAGCGTAGACTTTATGTACTGCAAACATGGACTCATACATAAAAACATCAGAAAATAAAGGGAAAGGCAGGCGAGTTGATCATGGCGACTCTCCCAACCGATCTAACAAAAAGATCAAAGACAAAGAAACCAGGGTGTGGGAAGTGCAGAAGAAAAGGAAGGAAGTGGAGAGCTGTGCTGAGAGACGTCAGGGTGGAGTCGTGGGCGGGAAAGAGTCCATCTAAGGGAGGGGCTCGCATCTCCTCCAGAATTCCTATGCTGAAACCTAATCAGCAAAGACACGGGGTCAGGAGTGGGGTCTTCGTTCAAGAGAGCAGAATGGAAGAGAAGCCCCTGAGAGCTGCGTGTGGAGGTTCACACCTGTAAAGGCAGCACTGGAGAGGCTGAGGCAGGAGGATCAAGCTCAGCCTACCAATATAGTAAATTCAAAGCCGGCCTGAACTACATAGTAAGATCCTGTCTTTAAAAACCAACCAAACAGGGATGTAGCTCAGTGCAAAAAAGATCCTAAATTCAACCCCAACTACCCCACACAAACACACAGGTATCATAGAAGATACCCAACAAGGTTTGAAAATACATTTACTCATGGTAGAAAAGGTCAGATTTAATTATTTGCCTAATTAGCAATTGAGATTAGATGATCAGATTTCAGAAGTCCAATAATGAATGAGTTTGACATTCCTAGTTCCCCCTCTTCGACTCCGGGGGGGTCTTGCGTGTGGTCCGCAGGCCGCTCCCCAAGTGTACTCTCACCTACCTGGAAGTAGGCCGACATGAAGGTGTTGTCCACGACCAGCAGGATGTCTCCGTGCGCGTGGACAACCTTGGCACAGGCTGCGATGTCGGCGAGCTTCAAGCTGGGGTTGGTGGGGGTTTCCAGCCAGACGAGCTGGGTGATAGTTCACAGTTAATGGTTGGTAGAAGCAACAGTTTCCAGAGAGCACCGCACAGACACGAGCCAAGTGCCCGGTGACAGGCCGGGGCTTTTTGTTTTTGTTTTTTGGTACCGGGGATCAAACTCTGGTCCTTGAGCTTGTGAGGCAGGCTGCAGGACCACTGCGCTAAATCCCTGGCTCTCTGGGGCTGTTGCATTAGAGCAGAAACACGGGGGCTCAGGGCTCGCATCTCAGCCACACCCACCCTACAATCCCTGAGAGGCTGAAGCTGGGGTCCCGAGCCTCCGCCTCCACCTCCGCGCACTTCCACAGCTCTGTAACCTTCCTCATCCCTGTGGTCTGGATGGAGCACAAGGAGCAAACACCCACTGTGGAGTGGCTTTGTTGCTTCTGCTGCTTCCTCTGCCATGAACCGTCACTGCCCCTCTGCCACCTGCCTCGGAGCCAGCTGACTGTGGGCTGAGACCTCCACGGACTCTTGGCCAGATAAACCTGTTCCCCTCTAACTTTCCGTTTCCCGTATTTTGTCTCCGCAACAAGAGAAGAGTGCACTGGCTCACTTCATTTTCACAGCTGCCTTTTGAATGAAGCCAGCAGTTAACTTCATTTTACAAATGAAGACACAGAGACAGTGGCCAGTTTGCCCAAACTAACACACCAGCTATGATACAAGATCAGAGTTCGAACGTCACTCCAGAATTCACGTGTGAATTCCTAAGCATGAGGCTGGGGAGATCCAGCCTCTGTTAATCCAGTGGCTGTTTCCAACAGTTTGTAATGAGATTCATTACTCAGAAAGCAAGACGTCACAGAGAAGGTCAACAAAACTGAAAACTGGCTAAATTACTTTGGTTCGCGGTGTAATTGCTTCCTCGAGCAATTTGGTTTTGGAGCAGTCGACAAAAGAAATCTTTAATCCAAATTCAGCTGCCACCCTCCTGAAGTATCGGTTTGTACCTGAGGCAGAAAAGAATCAGATAAGACGGACAGGACAGTATCCAAAAATGTTCGTTCCTTATAGATATAAACATGTAAAGTAAGAACAAACTGGCAATCACTGTCAAAAGTGCAACTAAAAGCAATTTCAGTGAAGTAGTTTAGCTATCTGGTATAGTAGAGAATAGCAAGGCTTCAGTCAAATAAAACACACATGATACCCACAACGAGGTACAAGCAGAAAATGTTTGGTGGGAGGCTGAGGCAGGAGGATCGCTGCGAGTTCAAGACCAGCCTGAACTACATAGACTCTATCTCAAAAAACCAAACCCAACAAAATATCCAGCCTCTATTTTCAAACACTAAGTGGCTGGCTGCCTGAAACATTAATAGTTTTTTGTAACAATATCATCTACGTCATCAGATCTAAATTAACTAATGATGATAAAATGTCCCAAATAAATATTTAGTCTGATTATACTTTGGTAACAGAAAACAATTGGTTGCTATTCTTTGTACTTTCTCAATATTTTCGTTATGTGGCTCTAAAAGTACTTTTAATAGATAAAATGAGATAATGTAAATCTGATTTTTATTTAGAAATAAGACAAATCATTTAACATTGAATAATTTATATTCTAAAAATGTTCTGAATTCTATGTTTTAGATTTACAAAATTTAAAGAAAAAATTGCAACCACTGATAGTGAAAAAATAAATAAATAAATGGCCAAAAATAAAATGGACTTTTGAAGTTATACAGACTGACCCTAGGAAATATGATTGTGAAAAGGATGTAAAGGATTGTTAAAAATCAACAATGCTCGGGTTTTTGTAGGCCATGAAGGCTTTTTCTTTTTTCCCTTTGTTTTGATTTGTTTTTTGAGAAAGGGCCTCACTATATAGCCCCGACTGGCCTTGAACTCACAGGGATCCTCCTGCCTCAGCCTCCTGAGTGCTGAGATAACACAGGTGTGCACCGCCAAGCCCAGATGCCATTAGGTTTTCCTAACACACTATAAAATACCTAAAGCTTGGAGATCTCTATAATTTCAATTTAAAAACTACTACAAGGACCCAAGGTATAATATAAAAACAACATGCAAGGGATGAAATAATTACTAGGAACGAGTCCTTTCCTTCAAAGAACTTGGAGATCTAACTTTTTGTTCAGATAAGATAGATAGAATGATAATATTCTACAAGTCACATTTTATGTGTTTGGAAGCACCTGGAATTTATATGTGCATTTACAAACATTTTTGCTGTTGTTTTGAACACAAAAGCCACTCTTGCAGCCGGGCGTGGTGACACACGCCTGTAATCCCAGCACTTGGGAGGCTGAGGCAGGAGGATCGCTGTGAGTTCGAGACCAGCCTGGGCTATATAGTGAGTTCCAAGTCAGTCTCAACTACATAGTGAGACCCTGTCTCAAAAAAAAAAAAAAGAAAGAAAGAAAAAACCCTCTTGCAGCTGGTGGTATTGGTGCACACCTGTAATCCCAGCATTTGAAAGGCTGAGGAAGGGGGATCCCTGAGTTTGAGGCCAGCCTGGGCTCCACAGTGAGCTCAAGGCCAGCCTGAACTACATAGCGAGGCCTTGTCTCAAAAATCCAAACCAAAACAATGACCAAAAAAAAATCAGTCTTCCCCACCCCCAGGAACAGCCAACATACTAACTCTTAGTAGCAGGAGTTCTTTAATTTGGGTCCATGGCAGGCTCAGATGGTCAGGCTGTGAGAGCATGGAAGTGAAAATACTACACACTGGTTGTAATCATCAAAAGATTTGGGGGAGAAGTTCTTTATACCTTTCAACAGCTTTCCAAAAGGTTCTCTGAAACCAAAATAAAAAGCAAAACCAGGGAGGGACCGGAAGGGTTCAGTTCACTTGGTAGAGTTCACTTTTTCTGCAGTTAGGGATTTTAAACCTTTGAACAATGTCCCTTTCAGGCTGTCTTCTCAGAGCGGAATACACCTAAGAGTTGCTGGGGTCCTACATCCCTTATTCTACAATTCCTCTGATGAGCACAGTAAATGCATGCAGTGCATAATGATTATATTCACCGTAGGGGTTGGTATATGTACATAACCCATCTTAATTCTTTTTACTTCCCCTTCCAGCTGGACTTGAACTCACTACGTAGCCCAGGCTGGCCTGAAACTCATGGCGATCCTCCTGCCTCAGTCTCATAAGTGCTAGGATTACAGATGTGCATCACACCTGGCTCTTAATCTCTCTGTTTTTTGTTGTTTTGTTTTTTTCCTTTGTTGTTGTTTCTTGTTGTTTGAGACAGGATCTCGCTATTCCATTCAGGCTGGCCTTAAATTCACTATGTAGCCCAGGCTGCCCTGGAACTCATGGTGATCCTCTTGCGTCAGCCTCTCAAGTGCTGAGATTACAGGTGTGCACCACTACGCCCGGCTTTCTTAATCTCTCTTATAAGCAGTCCCAGGCCTCAGACCCTCTGAGTTTATGTCACTCCTTTGCCAAGTCTGAGCCAGCCCCACTTCTGAAAGACAATATGTGAGCAGTACTACCAGCACACTTGCTGACAGAACTCAGAGCTCGCTTTCCTGTCTGGGCGCAGAGGGGCTGTACCTCCGTACAGGTCGTCCATGCAGACCACCTCGTCTCCCGCTTTTAAAAGGTGCATGATCGTCACGGTGGCTGCCAACCCCGAAGCAAAGGCCAAACCTGAAATGAAAATCCAGTTAGCTCCCGCCAGGACAGAGGGGGACCAAACCGCCGCAGGATTTGCTTGCATTATTTCTTCACGTCCTTCTCTCTGCTGACACAGATCAAGGGTAAACTAGCTTTAAAAGACACACACACGCGCACGCACACACACATGCACAATGTGGACGGGTGCTTGGTCGTACATCAATTCTGCCTCAGTTATAACATTTCAGTAAAACATTTCAAAGGAATAATTCTTTGCAAAATGTGAGATAAAGGCTCACTGCCCATTAAATTACAGTTGTTAAAAAAAATTGTTTTGAGAAAAGGTCTCGCTCTGTAGTCCAGGCTGGCCTCAAACTCTCTGCAAACCTCCTGCCTCAGCCCGGGACTACAGGTGGGCATAACCACATCCGGCTACGGGTTTACAGTATTAATCTAAAGAAATTTCAAACTCAAGGACTACAGCAAAAAAACGATCCATTTTTCAATGCATGGATATGCAATATCACACCCATATAACATTTTTATATGGAATTTTTAAAGAAAAAATATTTTAGTTTAAGTTTTGTTTATTTGCTTATTTGTTGAGATAGGGTCTTGCTATGTAGTCCAGGCTTTCCTTGAACTCTTGGGATCCTCCTGCCTCAGCTTCCCAAGTGCTGGGATTACAAATGTGCAGCACCTCGCCAGGCCTTGAATGAGTGACTCTCTTTTTTTCCCAAGTGCATCTTGCCTCAGGCGTGTTCTCGATACATTTTAAAGGGCTCTACGGTGAAATCCTGATCACTTACTGTACTTAGCCTCATCCAGCGCTGCCACTGCTTTTTCCAAGCAGTTCCTAGTGGGGTTTCCAGAGCGGCCGTACACAAAACCCTGAAGAGGAAGAAAAGTCCGTTTAAAGGGCTTCTCACTTAGTACCAGCGCCCTCCCCCGGACATCCCACCGTGACGACTCTCTGGTTTAGTGTCTGCTCATCCTGTCCTGACTTAGGGTAGAGAGCATCCTGGCTGGGCATGAGGGCGGCCACAACCACGCCAGACCCAATCAGCTGAGCTGGTGCCACCCCAGCATTTGCAAGAGCCCGCTTCAGTGTCTGTGCAGTGGGGAGTGTAGAGGTACGGGGTTCAGGAACGCCTGTGCCGGGCACAGGAGATTCCTGGCATGTTTAGCCACTAGGTGAGCGGCAATTTTTAACATTACTGTTGTTATTCTGTTGGCCTCATCTTTTCTTAGTAATCTGTGGACATTGGGAAAAGGGGGTACCTGAGCCAACACAGTGACCTAACTCTATTTGCTTTCCTAAGAAGTAAGTCACATCATTTCTACAAACATACAAGAAGACACTGTCTATCAACCGACCCTACAAGTACGGGGACATTGATCACGGCTCTTTGAATTGGCTCAAAATGTAGGGAGTAATTCTCAACAAAGTACCTCCATGTGATACTTTCTAAAAACTTGTATTATACTCAGTGTTCATATTCATCTGGTATTTGTTTCATCCTCAAGACCTTGGTAGTAAGGGGGGCCCAATGACACAGGACCTACAGAGCCTGAGAGTTAAAGCCCCGGGCCCTAACACAGATGAAAAACCTGTCATTTTGTCCCCTGACTCATAAAGCACGTAACGAAACACAACCACTCTTTACCCTGTGTTGCTGATTCAGGAGCTCCTGCTATAAGTAATAATTTTTCAAGCTTTATTGCATTGTCTCCTTGTTCCTGACGAGCCGAGCAGCACACTTATTTTGTGGGGTCCCAGGTACCCTCACTGCTACCCATCAAGACCTCCTCACGGCCAACCCACTGGGGAGCAAGGAAGTGGCTGGATTCACGTGGCTACCACCCAGAAGGAGACCCTACCCTTCCGTAGAAAGGCCTCGTCTACCCAAGAGCTTTTGAAGTATTAGGAAAGAATTAGACACTTCTCGTGCAGCTCTTCAAATTCCCCGTGGTGCCCTTAACTGACTTTTCTAAAGACAACAAACAGAGTCTGGTAGAGTTCATCACCACTCCTCGCTTTCTGAAAACATTACTACTGTACCAGAATGACTAACTTCTGTACTAGATTCCAAAGCCCGGACAGCCGCATGTACAGTAAACCCGCATACGAAAAAGACTGCATGCTTGGAAGAGTCACTGTACACACTCAGATTCCAAAATACAGGAGCAAAGGTGCCTAAGGCAACTGGAGAAACGCCCTGAGAACTCCTCCTCCAAACAAAGGTTGAAGACTCTAAGAATCATACTTAACACATGAAAGTTGTTTCCAAAGATTAATCAAGGTTCAGGACTTGTAAAGTTGAGTTACCTATTTCTCCCAAGTTTCAGCAACTTGTAAATGCTCCGAGACCCACCTGGTTTGCCCTCAAAAAGAACAAGAGCTGTATGATTAACAAAGACCTCTCTCTCTCTCTTTTTCTCTTTCTCTTTCTCTCTCTCTCTCTCTCTCTCTCTCTCTCTCTCTCTCTCTCTCTCTCTCTCTCTCTCTCAGGCTTTACATGTCCTTTACAAGTCTGGGTGAGTTCCTTGTCTATAAAAAGTCCCTAATACCTGTCCTGTCCTCTGAACTGGCTGCTGCAAAGATCAAATGGAAACAGTATGAATGTCAAATGCTGAAGCACCACTCAGGAGTTATTATGCACATTGTAGCTTTGCAATCACCACCGACTCCTGGGGTAGATATTATTATCCTCATTTGCACAGAAGCAGGTGAGGCTTGGAAAGCTTAAATAACTTCCTCCAGTAGCCAGCTCAGAAGAAGCTATGTCCTTCCCATATGTCGAGAGAAGCCATATGTTGCTTAATGATGCAACAGGTCAGCCAGGGGTGGGGGCCCTGCGTGGGCCGTGGACCATGGCTTCAGGCCCAGTTGGAATCCAGCTCTCACAGCTGTTCACCAGCCCTCAAATTCAGCCGTTTCATCAGAAAAATGAGAATTTATTTCAGAGTAGGGTCATTGGGATTAAATGAGTCACTTCATCTAATGTATTTCATGACACGTATAACATAATACATAAAACATATATTTTATATACATGAAAAAATGTGTCTGTACCACACAGTAGGGGCTCACCTATTAACCCAATGTAGCTATTTGGGAACTAGCTTAATTCTAGGAAAGTTATCAGACCCTTAATCTTTTTAAGCTGACTCCTTACTACATCTTTAAATCTTTTGCTACTGAAGGTAACTCAAAGAAGCCCCCGTCCCCCCCCCCCCCCCGCCGGCCGGCTCACCGCGTGCTGGCCGGGCGCGTCCTGCTTGAACGTGGTGGACAGCGCGATGGGCGGCACCACGGCCCTGGAGCGCCACTGCTCGGGGTCCTGGCCCGCGTGGATGGCCCGAGTGGCAAAATGAGGGAAGCGAGGCAGGAAACCCAGGGCGGAGGCGTCTTCTTTCTGCATGCTGAATGCAAAGGAAGGAGAAAGCGAAAAGCCAGAAAGATCGAACTAGGAAACCGGGCTGCCAGAACAGGCTTCAGGGAGGCGACGGAACCGGACCAACAGAGAACCGTGGGAGTGAGGGCGCAGGAGTCGGACACCTTCGCTAGCCAGCTATATTTACAGGCCGCTCTCAGGGGAGGGGCCATCGCGGACCAATGAGAGCCGGCCTCGGTGCAGTCCCCGATCCTCATAGGTCGAAAGCGGGGGCGTCTCTTCCCGCCCCCTGCCATAGGCGCTGCGCCGGGTGACCGCCCTCGGGGCAGAGTTCGCCGCGGAGAGAGGCCGGCTTGGCTCGGAAACCGCCCCCGCTCGGGTAGACCGGCCACACACACCCTGCTCGGGCTGCGCGGCCCCTGACCCGGCCCTTTGTCCCGGGGCGGGGTGGAAAGACGCGAGCTCGGCAGGCGATCGGGGCGGCCCCGCGGGCTCTCGGTAACCATGGAGACAGCGTGTCACTTCGAGGGCAGCGGGTGGCAGTGTACGAGGAAGATCGGCGCCTGCGCGGGCTGCCTGACAGCTGCCCGTCACGCGCGGGAAAAGTAACGGGGCGCTGAGGCCCCTGGCCCAGACAGCGTCTCACTGTCACGCGGGGAGCGGTGACGTCCTTGCAGGACCGGGACGGCTTTCCGCCTCACCGGCTGCGCACCTGCACCCAGGGCCGCGCTTGGCCAGGAGCAGGCCTTCAAACACAGAATCTCCTTGTTCCCCCGAACAATACAGACCTGACCTACTTAGGGTTGTGGCTGGGCTCTGGGACCAGGGACTTCGGGGTTATTCCTGCTCCAGCAGAGTATGAGCTGAGGATTTAAAATTTTATCAAGCTTGGACAATAAGGGATAAGCAACTTTAAAATTTACAGTTTGAAAGAGAGATGTGAAGAGCAAGATTGAGACAACTTCCTGCCGACCGCTCCAGGGACGCACTGCACATTAAGCACCGGCGGAGTTGTTCCAACCACACAGGGGCTTTTTGGTTTTTTAAAGCAGTCTTGCCACGTGACCCAGGCTGGCTTTAAACTCTCTGTGATCCTCCTGCCTCAGCCTCCTAAGGGCTAGGACTAAGGCATGAGCCACCACACCCAGCAAATCTGCTAATTTTATAATAAATTGGTGCACAAACACAGCTTATGAAGGTGACGCAGCCAAGTCAGTGATATGCTGGTAAATGTTAACTGACTTTCATAAAAATACCCACAAATACGTGCGTGCACGGGCTTACTACAAACATCGCAGAAATGAAGGGTGTCTAAGGCCAAATTCACAAGTAATGAAGTGTTTTTATTGTTGAAAAAGCTTTAGGGCCGGGTGTGGTGGTGCACACCTGTAATCCCAGCACTCGGGAGGCTGAGGCAGAAGGATCGCTGTGAGTTTGAGACCAGCCTGGGCTACACAGTGAGTTCCAGGTCAGTCTCAACCACACAGTGAGACCCTGTCTCAAAAAACAAAAAAAGAAAGAAAGAAAAAGTGTTTGTAAACAGGGAGGGGAGGAGGGGGTGAAGGGAGGGCAGGGACAAGGGGAAAAAATGAGAATCAAGACCTGGCATGTAAAGGTACAGGATCCCAATAATGAAGGTAACCGTACTGTATACCTAGATTGTACCAATAAACTCAATAAAAAGAAAAAAAAAGCTTTAGTTAAGCAATTTATTGAGAGAAAAATGTGAAATGAGTCAGTAATGTCCACATTGATACAGCCAATACCACAGCGTCTGGGTACTATGCTGGTTTTCATGTAAGTTAGCTTGTAAACATAACAATGTTATCGCAACATCCACCAAAAAACGTTTTCTTGGGAATGAAGCTCAGGAGGGACAAATATTTAACAAGAAATGGAGGGCTTTTTATCTTTTGCATATCTTTGCTGTTTAATCTTTTTATAAAGCAGTACTGTATTATTTTACAATACATTCTTCAAGCTGGGTGTGGTGGTGCACACCTGTAATCCCAGCAAGACCGTGTCACACACACACACACACACACACACACACACACACACACACACAGTTACTGAGGAGTAGAAGGGAAATGGGAATCCAGGTATATTAATTCCAGCACTCAGCAGCTCAGCCGCTGCGGTTACCCAGCCTCCCTAGAGCAGACTTTACCCCAGAGCCCTCTGGTGGTGGTACAGCATTGTCATGGAAAACTGCATTTTATGAGCATACAGTGGTTAGCTATTCTGATTTTTTGTGCTCCTGTAATGTTTGTTGGTTTGGCACTGGGGCTTGCACCCAGGGCCTTCACCCTGGGCTAAATCCACAGGCCTTTAAAAGCAGTTTTTGAAACAGGGTCTAGCTATGTTGCAAAGTTGCTCAGGCTGTCCTCAAACTTGCACAATCCTCCTACGCTGGGATTACAGGCACGCGCCACCATACCCAGCTTTAACACCTCTAATTCAAACACCTAAAATGCCCTAAAATCCAAAACTTTGAGCACCGATAGACTACTCGAGTGGAAAATTGCACTCCATACAACTGTGATTCATGTGCAGCATCATGAAAAATACTGTATTTTTGCCTTTGGTTTATGTATAGGAGGTATTTAGGAAACATAAATTAATCTCATACTTAGACTGAGGTTCCATCCAAAAAACATCACATTCTGTATATGTGCATATTCCAAAATACTTCTGGTCCTAAATTTTTTATTTGTTTGTTTGGTTTGGTGTTTTGAGACAGGGTCTTGCTGTGTAGCTCAGAACAGCCTTGAACCCACTATGTAGTAGATCAGGCTGATTTTAAATTCTTGGCAATCTTCCTGCCTCAGCCTGCCAAATACTGTGATTAGAAGGTGAGCACCACTATGCCTGGCTGGCCCAAGTTTTTTTGTTTGTTTGTTTGTTTTGAGACAGGGTTTCCCTATGTAGTTGAGACTGAGCTGGAACTCACTATGTAGCCCAGGCTGGTCTCCAACTCACAACAATCCTCCTGCCTCAGCCTCCTAAATGCTGGGATTAAAGGTGTGCACCACCATGCCCGGCTTGGCCCAAATATTTTAAAACTCAGGATTTGTTACTAATAATACATCTTGAAAATAACTCATTTTAATTAAAAAGAAAACAAATACTACCATAGTAATACTACTGCTATCCTATAAAAAGATTCGTATTAAAATGATTTATTTGACAAACTCACTATAAATGCTTTAGTCATGTTTCACTTGTTTACTAGTACTTTTGAAATGAATTTAAAACAAACATCAAAAAATGAAGAAATATTATCTTGCCTTTTGTCCAACTTGAATATAGTGTTTTTTCTCTATTTATTAAAAAATATTTCTTGCATTTGAACCATGTACTAATGCTCTAATGATTTATGTGACTTCACTAAGAAATCAAAAGTATTGTTCTTATAGACTTTAATCCTAGTCGAGATGTATAACTCCTAGTAAACATAATAGATAAGTAGTGCGTATCATTTGGTAAGAGAATGATATACTCTATAGAGGAATTAGAACAAGGGAGATACACTTTTTTAAAATCTATAGGATGAGAGAAAATTGTGCCAGCTATTCTCTCAGACAGAAGACTAATATCTAGACCACATCAAGAATTCAAAATATTAACCCCCCTTCCAAAATAGAAGACCCTATCAAAAAATGAATAACTGAAATGCATAGACACCTCCCAGAAGAAGTACAAATGTCCAGTAAGTACACAAAACAGTGTATAAGATCTGGCCACCGGAGACATGCAAATTAAAGCAACACTAACAGTCCATCTTACCCCAGAAAGATCGGCCGTCAGGAAGAAATCCGATAATAGCAAATGCTGGTGAGGCTGTGAGTAGGGGAATCCCTGTCCGCCCTTCTGGAGCATGAACTGGTACAGTCACCATGGAAACTGGCACGGAGCCCCCTTTAAATGACAACGAGAAATTCCACTTGAGCCAGCTATCGCCTTTCTAGGTATCTTTCTGAAAGAGTTAAAGACATCAGGGCTGGGGATTTAGCTCAGTGGTTCTGCCACCTGCCTTGCAAGCGCAAGGTCCTGAGTTTGAACCTCAGCACCAAAAAAAAAAAAAGAGTTAAAGACATCTAATACAGTGATGCAAGCACACCTACGTTCCTAGCAGCTGAGTCTACAGTTATACAGCAGCTCACAATAGCTGAATCTTGGAAGAGCCTACGTGAATGATTATGGATGGATGGATTATGACTCTGCCTTGAAGAAGGTACACATAAGACATTTGTAAAAAACTGGATGCCCCTGAAGACGACACTGCTGAGCGAAATACATAAAGCCACAGAAGGTTGAATACTGCATCGTGTCTCTTATATGAGAAACCCGAAGTATAAGTAAAGAGCAAAACGAAAGGTAGATGATGGGAAACAGGGAGATCTTTTGCAAACCGAAAGTGGACCAAGAGTGGAGGCAGGGGAGAGGGAAGTAAAGAGAACTACATGTGTCACAGGCGTGTACCGACTTCCCACTGTCCATGCAATTATTATGTACGCAAACACTCACAGAATTAAAAATCTAAAAAAGGGAGGAAAAAAAAAAAGAACCAAAAGGCAGATCAGTGTTCGGGGAAGAAGCAGGATGAGATGTGAGAGCGAGGCCAGGTGCTCCTGTGGGGGAAGAGGTGACAGGCGAGGGACTCCAGGCAGTGGAGGGGCAGCGTGGCTGTCTGGGATGAGGTCCTCTCTGCGTCTGGAGGGGCCGAGCTGGTGCCAAGGTCCTGGGGCAGGAGCGCGGCTCCCTCCAGGAAGGCCGGAAAACCAATGTAAATGGCGGTGGGACAGGCAGAGAAGAGAGCGGCGGACGGGTGGTGTGCGGGCTGAGGTCTGAGCGGAGAGGAGCCGGCCTAACCTGCCGAGAGAAGGGTTCCGGCCGCGGTGCTGGGCGGGGCCCTGTTGGTGCCACGGCATCTTTGAGGGGGCAGGTGCCATGGGGGCGGGGCTCGCTGGGTCCTCACGGCTTCGAATGGGGGGCCAGGCACAGTCCGCGAAGTAATCACATGCTGAGTAAGGACTCCTTAACACAACTGCATTAAAGCTGCCGCGTTGGTCTAACTGTCCTGCTTTCTATAAGCTCCTTGGGGCGGAAATTTGTCTTTTTTGCTGTTGTGATTGGTTTTTTTGGTTGCTGTTTGGTTTTGGGGTTGGTTGGTTGGTT